CAGGTCACTGAATACAGTGTATTTCTCAACAGCTAAAGGCAAGAGTGCAGACTGCTCCCTGCTGTGAAGCTGTAGTGGTGCATGGAAATATGAGAGTATCACGCAGAAAAGACATAGCAGTGATCACAGCCAAGACAGGAGCACAAATCAGCAGCTCTGTCTCAATCTCATGCTCTCTTTTAAGTGGAATTAGGCTTCTTCTGTTTCTAAGACTAGATAATCTTGCAATCATGTAAAAAAATCTGCTGTGCTGCACACATGAAGCATAACCCCAAACCCTCATTTAAAGCCAAACTGGTGTCTATGGAATTCTCCGGTATTCCCGCAAGAACACTCACTGAGAGAGGTGTAAATCCAAGGGAAGAATCTGGGATACATTTGCAGACTGAAAAAGACATGATCACAGCGCCAGGGCTGGTACTTCCAAACCGTACTGGAAGTCTCTGGCTCCATCTAGAGATTCATTCCTCGAACTGCAGTACTGGAATTCCAGCGGAAAGGAAGAAAACATGGAAAATACCACGGAGACTTTAGGCACTCTCCTCCCTGTTTTCCATGCTGGAGGAGGTGAGGACTGCCCTGGATGTGCCTCCTAAGCAGCCACACTGTAGTGTCCACTAACTTGTCAAACAGAAAACAAGAGGTTTGCAGTTCTGGGTACGCTACAAAGAATCCAAATATCACTACCAAGAAAAGGCATTCCATGGAACTCACTGCTGGTTTTGATGGAATGCTCTGGGACAAACAGAATGCTCCATTGAACAGATCTTATCTAGTTATGGGAAAGGGATGACATTGCTTCACATGCATTTATTGGGCTGCTCTCAGGTAGCAGCAGGGCAGCTAAACATCTTTTTGCTGAATAAACAGGAAAAAACAGTATCAAGATACCAAGTCATGATGCAAGAAAGACCAACCATAACTACATAGTCTGTTATCTTCATGTAAGGAGCTCAAAACAGCTGAGATGGACGTGCCTGTAGTAAGCTCATTTATACCACTGGAAAAGGGTTGGAGGAGAAAGTCAGTTAAAGCTAAATTCAAAGCACTTATTTCCAGCAGGGGGGAAGTGCCACAGGATCAGCCCAGGAACATGAAGCATATTTAACATGAACGCAGAGCTCACCTTTCCAAGGCTTATTTGCTCACTTAAGAAGTAAATCTGTAATAATATTACCTCTACATCTTGCTTGTTGGCCAACACCAGAATGGGAACCCCCTCCAAAGCCTCACTGGTAATCATCTTCTCTGTAAAGCACAGAAACAAAACCAGAGCTTTAGTCACTCCTGGAAAATAAAGTTGTGCAAATGCTTGACATCGACTATGTCAACCTAGGAAGGAAGAAAGAGGCTCCTTCAAGGTCATTATAGGCTACAAAGGCGAGTCCTGTGTTACAGACAAGACAGATTTCAACCAGAAAGTGCAAAAGCACTGCAGACGTGTCATTAACAGGCTTCAAGGACACAGGAATAGATGTGACAGCAATGAGTGAACTGTGCCTCAACACTCTCTGAAATCACAGCGCAGGTAAAACACAATGTACTCACCAAAAGCTCTTTTAGATTCGGAGAGCCTCTCCTCATCCGTGGAGTCAATAACGTAGATCACTCCATGAGATTCAGCATAATACTGGAAGGAGAACACAGGCATTAGTGCATTTATCCACTCCTTTGTTCCTCTTCCTGGGTTTTGGGGGTGAAATTTTGATACAACTCTTAAGTATGGGTTGGTAAGTGCTGTCTGTGAACACTAATGCAAATATTAAGCATGATCTTTGTTAATCTTGCACAGATACAGGTGAATCTCTGGAGAAGTGCTGATGCTAAATATTAGGGTTACCAAGAAGGCTGCATCATTACTAAATGCTCATCATGCTTCTAAAAGAGACAAAACCATTTCTAAAAGAAAAACAAAAGCATCTCCCACCTTGTCCCAAAGAGACTGCAGCTCCTCCTGTCCCCCCAGATCCCAGAACATGAGCCGAGTTTTGCCAACATCAATAGTACCAACTACAGGGAAAAAAAGACAAAATCCATTGACAGTGAGATGTTCTTTAGAGCACAAACACCTGCAAATCCCCTTAAGAAGTGTGGGGTAGAACAGAATTCCAGAGGAACACTCAGTGGCTACTCTCAACAACAGTCAAATACCCTCACAAATAGCAACACTGATATCAGGGTCATATCAATGCAAATGATACCAGGATCAAGGCAATGAATCAACTGCAAGGAAGCTTAGCTTGATCTTGGAGTGTAGCACTCAAGGGGAGTACTTGGGGGTTTAAGACTTCAGGGTTTTTAACTCAAAAGCTAAGAAAGCTGATGTTATTCTCTTACAAAAGACACGGGGAGTTGGGGGATTCAGTTTCTCCTTCTAGGAACTACTTTGCCCTTGCCAATAGACCTCACAGCAGCTTTCTAGCAGCCTTCCAGTATCTGAAGGGGTCCTATAGGGATGCTGGGGAGGGACTCTTCATTAGGGACTGCAGTGACAGGACAAGGGGTAACGGGTTCAAACTGAAACAGGGGAAGTTTAGATTGGATCTAAGGAGGAAATTCTTTCCTGTGAGGGTGCTGAGGCACTGGAATGGGTTGCCCAGGGAGGTTGTGAATGCTCCATCCCTGGCAGTGTTCAAGCTTTAGTGTGAGGTGTCCCTGCCCATGGCAGGGGGGTTGGAACTGGTTGATCTTAAGGTCCTTTCCAACCTGAACTATTCTATGATTCTATTTCTAACCATTTCAAACAAGAACCAGCTCTTGCCCAACTGCAGCAAAGCTGAAGAATTCCAGAGAGATTTACTTACTGTTTAAGCCCACAGTGGTTGTGATTTTGGACAGACTCATCCCTTTGTAGTTCTTGTTAAATCGGGTCTTGGTTTGTTCAAGGAAGGTCTGAAAAGGAGTAAGAAGCCGTATTTAGTCTCAAATTGGGGTAACCCTAATCCAAACCTCCCTCTGCGTTTCTGAGGAATCCAGCTGCAACAGACACTGCCCTGCTTAACCTTGGAACAAACCACCCTTTTTGTTCCCGATTTTAGCGAGGAAAGAAGGGATCACGGGTGATTATGGGATTAGCAAAACCCCAGCTACAACCTTCAAGGCTTATGCTAACTTAAAGTAAGAGGGAAAAGGTGCTTCTTTGGCGTGACATCACTAAAATAACTCACAATACAATCCACCCTGCCTGGTGGATGTTCAGAATTGCACGTGCCCCCCTCATAACCAGCACTTACAGTTTTCCCAGCATTGTCCAAACCAAGGATCAGGACGCAGTACTCATCCCTCTGGAACATGTATTTATAGAGCCCGGACAGCAGAGTATACATCCTGCTCCTGCAACGAGTACCAGGAAATATTAGCAAACAGATCATTCCCAAAAATCTCTCATGCCACAACGTTTCCCAACAGCAGATAAAGAAATGCTGTTCTTCTTTTATCAGTAACTGTCGTATTTCAGCAATCCCAGGACAAATCACAGATCCAAGGGAGACTGTGTGAGTAACTCAAGACTGAGTCTTTAAACACAAGTGAGAGATTATCTTCCAAAGAGCTTGACCTCTTTCTGCACATAGTGCCCAGTGTGCACTGCAAACACAACCCTCATTTGAAAACCACCCTGTTTGCTTCTGGGCTTAAACAAGAGCTATCTATAACTGTATCCCAGGATCTTTAATGGTTGAACTGAAGGCAGTGAATCTTAGAAGTGCATAAAATCTCCTGCTTGTCTTAATTTAAGCCTTAGCCAGTAACAAACTCTGTTACGGTATCCACTATACAAGTGTTTTGTCATCTTACAACGCCATGCAGGCGAGGCAGGTAACTGCCAAAAGCACAGGACTAAGACTCAAAGCGACACAAACACTGGCACAGGGTACCCAGGGAAGCTGTGGCTGCCCCATCCCTGGCACTGTTCAAGGCCAGGTCGGACACAGGGGCTTGGAGCAAGCTGCTCTAGTGGAAGGGGTCCCTTGGAGGAGTGGAGGAGCTTTAAGGTCCCTTCAACCCAAACCAGGCTGGGATTCTATGACAAGATTTGCTAAGATACAGGAAGCAGCACGGGTACCATCTGACTCACACAGCATTGCAACAACTCTTCTGCTTAAATACTAACGGAACCTCGAGGCAAAGGCTTTGCACGGCAACCATCTGCGACCCAGTGTGCAGATTAATATTCACTCTGAAGCGAAACGCCGTTCCCTGAAGGGGAAATACAGCTGCTCCGGCCTACGGGTGATGGAGGCGCTTCTGGGGCTGGGCACTCGGCAGGCGGACGGGGCACCTCGGGGCGCGGGGGGGGCTGTCCTACGGGAGGCACCAGGACCGCAGGATGGGGTCCGCTCCCCCTTTCGGGCCACCGAGTGACCCTGGCCGGGCCCAGCTATCGGAGACACCCCCCCACCCCAGCCTGACAGGGGGGAACGGGCCCTCACCGCCATTTCCCCCTCACGGCCCAGGGCCAGCTCCCGCCCCGAGCCCAGCCGCGGCCCTGCCGCCCCCCCCCCGAACGCGGAGGAGCGGAGGACAGAGCCCGACACCCGCGGGCTCCTCACCCGGTACCGGAGACCCCGCTCGCCACACCGCTCCTCAGCGCTCGCCATCGGCACCGGCCGCCGGCGCCATTTCCCCCCGCGGGGAACTCTGGGAAATGTAGTTCTGACGCTGGGGAGGAGCGTTGGGTGTCTACGGGAGGAGGACTACAACTCCCAGAATGCCTCGGGAGGCCTCAGTGCGCAAGCTCTGAGTCAGCGGGAGAAACCGGAAGAGGAGGTGATAGGGGTGTCATGGCGGCGGTGCGGGGGGGAAAGGGGAGTTGAGGGGTGAGTGGGGCCGCCACGGCAGGGCCTGGTCCGGAGCTGCCGCCAGCCCCGAGGCGGAGGGGCCGCGGGGGGAGCGGGGTTTCAGCGTCCTGGAGCGGGCGCCGTGGCGGGAGAGGGGAGGGCAGGGCAGGGCAGGGCCGGGCCCGGCCTTTCCTCAGACTCTCTCATCGCCTTTCGCTGCAGGAGCATCGGCCTGGTTCCTTCGGAGGGGAGAAGCAGGACGGGGGTGGATGGTGGCCTCTGCGGACAAGGGTTTGTTACCCAGAAAGGCGCTGGGTTTAAGTAACTCTGGGTACGTGCTAAGTTCCCGTAAAGGACACAGTTAAACACACCTTTGTTGTGCTGATAATGGATGAAGAGAGTCTGGAAGCAGCAATTCAGACCTACAATGCCCAACTGCAGCAGGTGGAGCTGGCGCTGGGAGCCGGCCTGGACCCGTCCCAGCAGTCGGACTTGATTCAGTTGCAGGAGGATTTAAAGCAGCTGATAGAACTGACCGAGTCCAGCCTGGTGTCTGTCAAAAAGAGCAAACTTCTGGCGACTCTGGATACAAACGCTGCCTCCTCCTCCACCCCAGGAGGTCCCCTGGAGCAGGGCACCGACCCAGAGACGTCTGCCCAAGATGAGGAGTATGCTGCCTTTAAAGAAGCCATTGCTGAGATTGGAAGTGATGCGAAGCCTTCAGCTGATAACGGTGAGATGTCAGCAAAGAGGGATGAGGAAACTGATGGCAGAAACGAATCAAAACACAGTGAAGAGGAGAAGGAGTCTGACAGAGAGGAAGAGGAGGAGGAGGGATTGAGTGGGATGAAGGTTAAAGCTCCCTACTACAGCTCCTGGGGGACGCTGGAGTACCACAATGCCATGATTGTGGGGACAGAGGAGTTGGAAGATGGCAGTGCAGGGGTGCGAGTGCTCTACCTGTACCCAACCCACAAGTCCCTGAAGCCCTGTCCCTTCTTCCTGGATGACAAGTGCAGATTCAAAGAGAACTGTCGGTAAAGAAGGCAAAAGGGGGTGGGAGGGGGTTTCTGTCCTTCTGCTGCTGATGCCGCGGTGTTCCGAGGGATAAACCTGCTCTGGAAGTGCCACGTTTGGCTTTTTTCCCCGAGGAAAATTGGCCTTTTTATGGCTTTTGCAAGTGTGTTTTGGTGCAGTGGCATCAGCGTGGCTGTTTGCTTCCGCTGAAGCAGAGGTGAGATGGGAAAGTTGCAGAGAATCAACTGCACCCAAACAAGTGGCTACATTAACAACTGAGCGTTCTAAACTAAGCCAGCAAAGCTTGGCTGTCAGTAGTTCGAGCATTCACGAGAGGCCAGAGGGTCTCTTACCACTGGGTAAGGCCTTGAGCAGCTTGATGAGTTGGACTAGAGACCTCTGTATCCATGAGATCCTGCTTGTTCCAAAGGACCCGTGAACTGTTCTACTGGATGTATCAGTAGCAAAGAGAGCCTGATGCTCTGGGGTGGGGTGCTTTCTTCATTATATGACATAAATAGTGTGTTCAAGGTGAAAAATTAATAACTTGTATGACCTTAGAGCAGCTCCCCGTGCCTAAAGGGGCCAACAGGAAACCTGGAGAGGGGCTTTGGACAAGGGGGAATGGCTTTAACCTGACAAAGGAGAGATGTAGATGAGACATTAGGCAGAAGCTCCTCCCTGTGAGGGTGCTGAGGCGCTGGCACAGGGTGCCCAGAGAAGCTTTGGCTGCCCCATCCCTGGCAGTGCTCAAGGCCAGGTTGGACACAGGGGCTTGGAGCAAGCTGCTCTAGTGGAAGGGGTCCCTGTCTGTGGCAGGGGTTGGAGCTGGAGGAGCTTTAAGGTCCCTTCCACCCCAAACCATTCCAGGATACCCTAATAGCCATTGAAGATGCATCACCCCTGACAACTTGTTGGCACTTTCATCTCAAGCCTGCTCCAATGAGGTCGGTAATTCCTCTTCTCCCTTCCCTGGCAGGTTTTCCCATGGGCAGGTGGTCTCTGTGGAGGAGCTTCAGCCCTTCCAGGAGCCCAACCTGAGCACGCTGGAGGTGGGCTCCTCCTGCCTGGCGAAGCACAGTGATGGGATATGGTACGCAGCAAAGATAACTGGTGAGTCTGAGTGGGCTTTGCAGGATTCCAGGTGGAAGATGGAGGCTGGTGCTTACATGAATGTAGAACTTGGCTGGTTTGGTTAATGGTAGAAAAGCTGCAGCCCTACAATGGAAATCTTGACATAGCTGAGAAAATACTCTGAATTTTGTTAAACTTGGGAAGGGAATAGGCCAGGAAACAGGAGAATGTTAGACAAAAAGAAGACATAAAGATCAGGATCTGAAGGGGGCCTATAGGGATGCTGGGGAGGGACTCTTCATTAGGGACTGTAGTGAATAGGACAAGGGGTAACGGGTTCAAACTTAAACAGAGGAAGTTTAGATTGGATCTAAGGAGGAAATTCCTTCCTGTGAGGGTGCTGAGGCACTGGAATGGGTTGCCCAGGGAGGTTGTGAATGCTCCATCCCTGGCAGTGTTCAAGGCCAGGTTGGACGAGGCCTTGGGTGAGATGGTTTAGTGTGAGGTGTCCCTGCCCATGGCAGGGGGTTGGAACTGGATGATCTTCAGGTCCTTTCCAACCCGAGCTATTCTGTGATTCTATGACTGTGTCTCTGTTAACTGCCCAGGAAGGGAGGAGGCAGGTGGTGTAGGGATTTGCATGCATATTGGGTTCGAATTACAATCATCTCCTCTTGTTTAACCAGAAGTCAGGGACTGGCCCTGCCCATCAGCTGCTGACACAGGCTTCTCCTGACCTGGGATTTCTCTCTTTCCATCTTTCTTTGCCTGTTGTTAGGTCAGAGGGGAGCAAGTCTTAACTTCGCTTTGATTCAGTTTCCAACAGCCCATCTTAATTATTAGAAGTGAACCTTTAAGTCTCAACATAGGCACTGTGGAAGAAGCTTTTCATTGCAGTGGGTGCTTCTTCCTCCCAGACAAAAGCACAAAGCAAAAGCAGATTTTCTTTAAAACACATGTTCTTTGGCCATCCCCCTCTCCCATATCATTCCCTGGAGCTAACTCTGATATAGAAAGCCCTCTGTCAGTTGGATACATACTGGGTTCTTGTCCTTGCTTTTCCTTCTATAGACATCGACAGTGGTTACTACACGGTGAAGTTTGATTCTCTGCTGCTCAAGGAAGCTGTTGTGGAAGGAGACAGTGTCATTCCCCCACTGCGAAGTGAAGAGGCTGCCGAGTCTGACGAAGACAGTGTTGATGATTCTGGTTATGCTAAAGGTGCGAGCAAAACACCTTGAGATCTAGGTCTGCCTTCCTCTGGGACCTATGGAATTACTCTCCTGGAGCTGCCCTTATAAGTGTCTCACCTCTGATGAAAGAGCAAAGCACCTCTTTGTACATTGCTGAGCAGTAATCAGCTGGCATGTTACAATTGCAAACTAAAACCTTTGGTTTATGCAGGCTGTTGGGCTGTGGGTTAATGAAGGTTGGAGGTTTCCATGGGAACTTCCAGTATGTGAAAGAGGGTTTGAAGCAGAGTTCCAGGCTCTCTGCTTCTTATGTGCCTGGCTAAGTTGAGCTAATAAGTGAGTGAGGAGACTTCCTTGTCTCTGGGAGCTTTGTGTAGCTACATGAGTAGAGACCCCAGTAACTGTGAGTGTTTGGTCCTTCCAGTGCCTCGATGAGGTTGGAGGAGCAGCCATGCCCTGTTTCACAACTGAAAGCTGACACAAAGAGAGCCCAAGTGACTTCTTTGAGATTAAACAGGCAACACCGCCCCTGTGCCAGTGCCACAGGTACATCACAGGGACAAAGTTGTGTCCTGGAGCTCTTTACGTGTCACCTAATAGAGATTATTGCATCCTAATAACACAGAATTAGCCTTGTGGCCTAGAGGAGCTTCATACCAGAGACATGAGCTGGAGGCACAGGATAAGTGTGATGTGCCACTGTGCCAAAGTTTACTCTGATGGTGTATGTCACTCTATCACCATCCTGGAAGGAAGGAAGGAAAAGAAGCATAAAGACTCCTGGAGGATTCTGCCTGGAACTGTGGGGTGGTGCATACATTAAATCAAGTGAGAGCTCATGTTAAGTGACTTGCTGTGCAATGTTCCTAAAAGTGAGAGCTCAATAGGAACTAAACAGGGCTGGAGGAGCATCCAAATGGTTATGGGGTGTGAAAAGTACATTGTACTGGGGGCGTTTCATGTTGTGAGGATGCCCACATGAAGGTTTTGCATAGCAGCTTCATTTCCATGTTTCACTGATTCTTCTCTCCTGTGCCACAGTGATAGATTCAAGAGTTCCAGAGAATGGGGAATGGTCTCCTGCATGCAGCTCATCCTTCGGTGGCTGGGAAGCTCATACTCGTGGTATCGGCTCCAAACTGCTTGTTCAGATGGGATACGAGTTTGGGAAAGGTAAGGGGGAGAGAAGGGGGTCCTGGTGCTGCCTCCATGGTTCCTAAAGCTAGATAAGAAAAGCAAGGTTTTGGATGAAGCTGAAACTTCCCTGTGCTGAAGATAAGAGATAAGGCTGGAGCTGTGTGAGGAATCACAGCTGTGTTGGGAGGCAAGAAGGGATAACTCAGTTAATGGAAGTAGAGGCACATGTGTGTGTGCACCAGCCCCTCTAGGGTAATAACAGAAACTGGAGGCATTTGGAACCATGGTCAAGTTGATGATTAAAGCCGTGAGAGCTGTTGTGTGAGATGTTCAAAGGCTTTAGGTGGAAGGGAGCTGATCTGTGATGCTTCTGATGTCTGTGTTAAAGCATCTGCTGGCTCTAGACGCAGACTTCAAAGCCTGCTCAACCAGCTTCTCACTACACAAATTGCCTTGAGCCTTGGGGGCTTTGGGAGGGCAGTCTGCTCCTTGCAGTTGTCTCTGCTCCTCCCAGAGGAACCAAACCAGTTTGAAGAAGAAGCTGACTTGAGGAGCTGAGAACATGGGGCTGAATCTGGTTTGACAGAAACCAGCCTGACCGATGGCCTCGGGTGTCTTATCACATCTTCTGCTGTCAAAGGCTCCTCTCATAGTGTCTGCCCCCACCGTGCTGTGGCCTTTGCTGCTCCCCTTGACTTGGATGGGAGTCACAGCTTCTTGTGCCTGCTGAGCTGTTCCAAGCTTGTGGCTGTCAGCGTGAGCTTGTGCTGGGAGGTGGCTCGGAGAGGGGATGTCCTCACTCACTGCAATCACTTGGTGTCTCCTCAGGGTTAGGGAAGAACTCTCAGGGCCGAGTGGAGCCAGTGCAGGCCGTGGTGCTGCCTCGAGGGAAGTCCCTTGACCAGTGTGCGGAGGTGCTCCAGAGGAGGAAGCAGGGGAAGCTGGACCCAGGCAAATCCAGGAAGTGCCAAGCCAAGGGAAGCAGCCGGAAGCCTTCCCACAACGTGTTTGACTTCCTGAATGAGAAGCTGCGAGGGAAGAGCTCGGGGGAGAAGGCTGGAGGGATGGCAGTGCCCAGGAGGACCAGCAAAGAGATCTACCACGCCAGCAAGAGCACCAGGAAAGAACTGAGTGTCCGCCTCCTCCAGACAGTGGAGAAGATCGAGCAAACACAGAGGGATATCATAGGAATCCAGCAGGCCCTGGAGCGCAACATTGGGCGGTAGGAAAACAGCCTCTTTGGGACTACAGGGGGGACTGAGAGTTGTGGGGCTGCTGGGAGAAGGGCTGGGCTTGAGATGAGGTATAGGAGGAGTAAGTGATGTGTGTGGATGAGATCTAAGGGGGAGAGGAGGAGAGAGACTTTAGTGTGTGCTTCAGACCAGCTTGGACACTGGCAGGTGTGTTTGGGGTCCTTTGGCTGGAATTGAGGCTGTGGTGAAGAGAGGAAAGGTGCTGGAGTCTTTCCTTCTCATGCCCACCTCTGCCGTGCTGCTGAGCATCAGAGGAGGATGTTTTCTAGCCCAAATTGTGCTGAGCATCAGGTTCTTCCTGGCTTTCAGCAGGTCACTTGTCCAAATCCCACAGGAAAGGGCAAACCTTCCTGGGATGATGATGACAAGCCTTTGATCTTACCCATGCAGGATGACTTTGCCATTATGTTTTTTGCTTCTAGGCACAGTGTTGCTACAGCTCAGCTGAAGGAGAAGCTGGCTAATGCCCACAAACAGCTGGGGCAGCTGCAGGCCCAGGAAGCCAGTCTGCAGCAGGAGCAGAAGAAAGCAGACACACACAAGAAGATGACTCAGTTCTAGTCTCTCAGAGAGGTGTTTGGCTGCAGTGATTGTCCTTCCAGCCAGCCCTGGTGCTCACAGCCTCAGAGCCTGGGGGAGCCTTCCTGCTCCTCCGGGTCTCAGGCTGCCCAGCCTGGAAAATGGGCTGAAAAGCAGTCATTCCTATACCCAGATGGCTCTGAGCATTGCTGGGAAGGTGAGGAGCACGCATCCTGGAAGCAGTCAGTGGGCCTGAGCCACAGGAAACAGGATTCTCTGCTCTCTTTGCACACTTCTTCCCTTTGCTATCACTACAGAGTCTGTAGCTCCTCTGATGGTAACGTTGCTGGCTACACAGCAGCTGAGGAGGGGCTTTGAAAGCCCCACATCCTGCGTCAACTGTGGCTTGTGTCGGCAGCCAACTGACAAACACAGAGCAGAGGCAGGGTCCCAAAGCAGAGCAGGGTGAAAACAACAAAGGCCAATGGCTTCAGCTGCTCTCTGCCTTGCAGGTTTTGCCATGGGGTTCAGCGGAGAGCACAGTTTTGGGGGGAGCAGCTCCTCGTAGCCTCAGTGTAATGAGCAGACAGAAAACTGGCAGCTTGGAGGTGGGCTCTCGTTGCCTCAAGCTTCAGGTTTCATCTGTTTGGGTGTAAGAGTATCCCAGGACATGCTGTAGCCTCTTTGACTTGGCATGGTGCTTCCACAAATGGAGTGCCAAAGCTGGCGGGGATAAGAGGAGAGTAACAGAGCTTCAAACCTCCCAGGTTCTGTCCCAGGTGGCTCGCTGGACACAGGTCCTCTTCTTAAGCCCCCTCAGGGCCCGGATCCAGCCCCTGGCTGAGCCCTGAGATGGGTCTGTGCAGTGCAGCCCTGTGTGTGGCAGAGCTTCAGGCCGGGCTGGAGGCAGGTAGAGCAAGCAAAGTGCCCTTCCCTGCAGCGTGGACAGGCTGGACCTGAAGGGTGTCTTCCCCCAGGTTATGTTGTGCATTGGTGGCAGCCAGTCCTTGCCCCAGAGGAGATGATGGCTTCATCAGGCTGTTTCTTGTGGGCCTGGTGCAGTGGAATTGTTTTTAGAAGAAATAAATGTTTCCAATTTCATGCCAGTATCTTAAGGATCATTTTGTTCCTTCATTTAAGGAATCAATTTCCTTTTATTCCGTGAGTCATTTCTCTGATGGGAGCTTTTGCTCCTTTGGTACCACCTTTTCTGCCTGTTGTCAAGGTGTCAGCTTGGCCAGGGCTGCACCAGCCAGCTGCCAAACTCACCAGGAAGGCTGAGGCTGAAGGAGAAGGGATCGGAGTTGTGGGACTCAGCATTGCTGCAGACACCCCTCGGGAAACACGGCGACAGCAGAAGTGAACAAGAGGAGCATCTTCAGGGAGCCTCTGAGTGACTTTTTCCTCCTGGCATGCTCTTGGATCCTGCTGTGATGGACTCTGCTGATGGGAAAGGTGCTGTGGGCTGCCCTGAGTCATCAGCATCAGTCTGTTTCTCGCTGTATTATCTTCATTGTGTTGAATTTGGGTTCTCTGCACTGGGCTTAACTCAAGGGTTTAACAAGGGTTGCTCAGTGCCCTTCCTTTACAAGTGACTGTTTCCCACACTTGAGTGGTATGAATGTGCCTGGCTTAGCATGAGTGCGCACTGAGGCAGCGCTGATGGGCTGAGCTGGGCAGAGAAACACCTTGGGCTTGTTTTGTGCTCTGACACTATTTAACATCATCACCTCTTCCAGAACCATCAGCCCTGTGTCTTGGCCGAGTCGTGGTTTGACCCTGCCTTGGGATTTCCACAGCCTTCCTTACCAGAGTCCTGTTGGAAGGGCTGCTGCCTCCCTCCCAAGGCAGTTCCCATCCCTGGTGAATAAAGTTGGGGTTTATTTGATCCCTCTCTCCTCACGAGGCAGTGTTCATTTGCAAGGTAATGCTCATCTGTGGTGACCCATCCTTTTCCTTCCATTGCCTGGGGCTAGAGGGCTGGGACCCAAACCAGCCGGGTGGGAAGCAGAGGGTGCTCTTGCAGAGCCCGTCCCTGGGTGCTGCTGGCAGCCAGGGCGGGGAGAAAGCAGCCTCCCATTGGGTGCAGCAGCCACCTCGGCAGCCCAGGAAGCTGTGGTGTGCGCTGCATGGTATCTGCTCGGAGCCATCTGCTCTGGAAGGAGCTGAAGAGGAGCGGGAGAGCTCACATCGAGATGTTCCAACTGGGGGGGAGCCCCTAATGAGGAATAACGTTGGGATAAAAGAAGCCAAATCCTGCAGGTCGGGTGCAAAGGGGAGAGCATGGTTGGATCCCTGCCCTTCACAGGCACCAGCCTTTGAGCCTCTGCGAGGTAAGTGGTGGTTTTCTTGCCTCGTGAACTTGAGTCTGCAACTAAACCAGGGGCTGGGAAGTCCTTTAGAACCACTCCATCTAATGGGAATTGCAGCGTTGTTGGAGATGCTGTTGCAGCGAGGTTGATGGGACAGGCAGGATCCCCGCTCTGCGGCAGGGCAGCATGAGCTGGGGTGAACTCAGGCTGTGAGGAGGGCTGAAAGCTTTGTGCTGCCCCATGCTTTGCGCTCGGGAAGCCTCCGGGCTTGGAAAGGAAGGAAAGGAGCTTGAGCTCAGCACTGCTGGGTCTTGAGGCTGGAGGCTGAGTGGGAGCTGGTTCCTTCCATGGGGAATTGGTGATGCGGAGCTGTGGGGAGTCGGGTTCTCCACTGAAAGATTCCCGGTTGTCTTGTGGGGAGGGTTTGGCTCGTGTGTGGAATGGCTCTTGGGGACTGCTGAGCTGCTGGCTGCAGGGGAGGAGGCCGGAGAGAGCGTGGGCATTGAAACCCAAAACGACGTGAAGCCACCGAGTCTGTGACAAGAAACCCCCTGCGGTGGCTGTGATTCCCGAGCAGACCTGTATCCATCGCCATCACCCACCCAGCCCTGCCTGCTGCCCCGAGGTCCCTGCTGGTGTCTGCTGCGGCTCAGCCCCGCAGGAAACCTCTCGAGCAGGTTCTCAGCTTCTCTCTGCCTGAGTGAGCGTGGAAGGGAGGAGGGAAGGAAGATGCTGAACCGGCGTCACCTCGAGCAGAGCAGGGGGGCACCCGCCTTTAGGCTTCGAAACTGCGCTTCACAGCATCCCACATGGGTTGGGTTGGAAGGGACCTTAAAGCTCCTCCACCTCCAACCCCTGCCGCGGACAGGGACCCCTTCCACTGGAGCAGCTTGCTCCAGGCCCCATCCAGGGCAGGTTCAATGGTGCCTGTTACGGGGCTTTCCTTTTTCATACTTGAAAGTAAAAGCCCTACTTCTGCTTCTTGGGGCTCTTCTCTCACTGCAGCTCCCCAGGGTCCCCGAGCTGGGTTTGTTGCAGCCACGCTCGCAGGCACTGGTGGAAATTGGCTTCTGATGTTTGCCCTGGTTTCATGCAAGTGCTCTTTTAGGAGCTTCAGAGCCGTTCTTGTGGTCACCGTGCGCTGAGCACACCGTGGCGGATGAATCCGAGGCCGGGCCAAAGCAGCAGCGCTCGCTTTCCACCATCAATTCAATCCTGGTGTTGGGAAGCCCAGGAAGGAGCCCTGGGCCTCTCGTAGCAGTCACATCCTGGAGTAAGAAACCGACTGCATCGGTGGTGCCGGGGCTCGGGGGTCACTGCAGGGAGTTCCTCCTGCTCGCAGGCTCCGGGTGCGCATCGCCCGTACGTGGGCTGCCACCGCTCTCGTCCTCAAAGCCTCGTGGAGCCTTAGGAAACCCTGCCCGTGTGCCTGGAGCCCAGCCCGGGCATGGGGGGATCAATGACTCCATTGGCAGCAGTTCAGGTGCGCCTTGGGCTGGGGGAGACGTCCACTGCTCCATCGCACCCGGGCCAGGCGCTGCCTTCTCCCCCCGGATTCCTCCCTTTGGGAGAACCAACGCGTCGTCCCAAGAAGCAGCATCCCCAGTGACTCAGTGCACCAAGGGGCAGGCGCTCGGTGTTTCTGCAGGTGGGAGCCACAACAGAGAGCAGGGCAGGAGCAGCCTCTGTTAATGTCAGCTTAGGAAGCTTCTCCATCCCTCGAGCCTTAAACACACAGGGCTGGCAAACGCTCCCTTCCCAGCTCTGATCCCAGCCGGTCCATCCAGCCCCATCAGGCCCTAAACCCTGCCTCACTCTCCAGGGGTTAAAGCTTCAGCCAGGGAAGTGCCCCAAGGCGTGAGAAGTGCTCAGATAAAAGGGTGCTTGAATGGGCAGGGCCTCACTGGTGTGGGGTGAAGATGGGATGAGGATGCTGTGGGGTGATGCAGGGTGCAGAGGAGCCGTTGGTGCCTCCACGGGCCATGGGGCTGCTGCAGCCCCACAGAGGCACCCGGGGCAGGGGGGGTCCTCACCAGGGCTCATCTGGGTTCAGACACATAAGGGGGTGAGTAAGAGGTGCTCAGGGTGCCCCATGGCATCCCCGTGTCCTCAGCTCTGCCGGTGGAAGCAGCTCGGATCTCCCAGCCCCATCTTACCTGGGGACTCAGGATCAGCTCCTGAGGCTTCTTCAAGCCGTGCTTCACCCCGGCGCTGGGAACTGCCTTCATTTCCCTCGGGATCAGGCAGTCTCCAGCTGTGGCATCCACGTCTCCAGGGCCAGGCCAGCCTGCTTTGGGTGCGGGACGTGCACGGGGCCGCGCTTGCGCAGAGCTGGGAGCAGCAGCCGTTGGCTGGACACGGCGCAGGTGAAGCGGTGGCAGCTTGTGCTCTGGGGTTGCTGATGGCTCAGCAGGGACAGGGGCGATGGGATGGGATGGGATGGGATGGGATGGGATGGGATGGGATGGGATGGGATCTCACCATGGGAAAGGTGTAGGATGCTGATGGGGCAGGAAGCTTCTGCTCTTTGTGTTGGGCTCCCCAAAACCTTTGTTCCTCTGCAGTGCTTGCTCTGCCTTGCTTCTGCTTTGGTTTGCAAGCAGGGACCTATTCCCTTGGATAAGGCACAGGGAAGAGAGCTGGGTTAGGGTTAGGGTTTTCCTTCAGGAAGAGGAAGGTCGGAGGCCTGGCATTCTCTGTGTGATGCTGGCGGAGGAGGCTTGGGGTCTGTGTGTGCCCAAGAGCCACCATGGCTGGGTCAGTGCTCAGGGGTGATCCTGCAGCCCCGGGGCACCCCACAGGCCTCATGGCCGGGATCGATGGGGCTGAATTCCACCGGGCTTGGAGGGGGAGCCCTGGGGATGGGGAGGGTGAAGCTCGCCCCGCTTCCGGGAAGCTGACTCATCTGTTTGCTGCCTCCTGCCGGGGCCACCCCATCCCCATGTCCCCAGACAGCCCCAGGGCAATTTGGGGTATCCCAGAGGGGTTTGGGGGCTCCGTTTCCACGTCCCAGCGGCCACTTGGGAGCTTGACTCTTGTTGGGTTCGTTTGCAAGCGATGACCCCAAGCTCTGATGTGAAGCAGTGGAGGTGACGTGGGGAGGGCAGCGGCCGGCCAGAAAATGGGGGTCCCTGGTCACGTCCCCCCCCTCTGGAGCATCTCCCTGCATGGGGGCTGCGCTGCGGGGCCCTGCAGCACCATCCCCGGCCCTGCCGAGCCCGCTCCCACCCCACCTCCTGTGTTCTCTCCGCAGAGCTCGGCCCCACGGCGGTGCTGGAAGCGGCTGCCCCATGGCTGCAGCGGGGGGCGAGGGGCCGGAGGGGACCCCGCTGCTGCCAGCGGGTGCTGCCCTGGCCCTGCTCGGTGGCCTGGTCTACCTGGGCGCCCTGTGCGCTGCCTGCAGACGGTAGGTGCTGCCCCGCGGCCCCTCTGCCCTCCCTTCTGGTCATGGGGACCCCTCCATGGCCTTTGGGGTGCACAGAGAGACCCCATCGGTGCCTGTCCTGAGCTGGGACCATCGGGATCTGCTGCTCCGTTTGCCCTGAGCCTAAACCCCAGCCCCAGCTCTGCCTGGCCTGATCCTGCACCCCTTGTGCCTTGTGACCCCCTGATAGCCCCCCCCTGCATCCAAAGGGCTCACAGGAGCAGCCCGGAGAGGGCTGAGGTGTGAGCAGGATGGGCAGGGTGGGTGATGCCAGGGGTGCCCCCATGGCTTGGTGGGATGCAGGATGCAACCAACACCTCCCCAGCCAACAGGGACCCTGCAGAGGGGCTGGTGCTGGAGCAGGACGATGGGTTTGGGGGTGCTGCTGCCCCAGTGAGGAGCCACCCGGTGACGCCCATCATGGCCAGGCCGGGGTCTTCGGGCACCCGCTCCTCACCCCCAGCCCCATGCCCAGCCCCGCTTCTCCCCACAGCAAGAGCAGGAAGAAGCAGCTCCCTCCGGACGGGGTGAAGCTGGTGGATGAGGTAAGCACGCTGTGGGGCAGCAGGATGAGCCCTGGGGGTGCTGCGAACCCCCCCCCATCTCCCCTCCCTGGCGCTGAGGCTCCGTGTCCCCACTGCAGTCCCTGCTCAGACAGACGCAGCTGCGGTCGCTCAGCAAGTCGGACACGAAGCTGCACGAGCTCTACCGGGTGAAGGCCGGAGGCCACGGTGAGCGCCCACGGGAGCGGTGCGCGCACGGGGCAGCATCACCCCCCGGTGCCGCGGCGCTGCCGCACGGCTCCGTCCCTGCTCCATCCCCATCTCCCATCCCCGCAGCCCAGCGCCCGGCCAGCCTGGACTTCACCAGCCCCTCGCCCGCTGACCCCCAGCACGGTGCCGGCGTCCTCCTGCACCGCGAGCTGCCGCAGATCCCGGTCCCCGAGCCCCCGGACCAGACCTACTCCAACCTCCTCTTTCCCCCGCGGCGGCGCCCGGCCCCCGACACCGTCTACGAGTGCGTGGCCACGGGGGGAGAGGAGCCCCCGGTGTCCCCGCCTCGGGCTGTGCATGGGGCGGCCGATTACGCCTGTGTGCGCAAGGTGAAGAAGGGGATGCCCGCGGAGGAGCAGGATGCGGCTGCAGCCGTGGGGCCCCCCCAGGCGCTGCAGTGCTGCGATGGCTCAGGAAGTGCCCCCCAGGCGAAGGTACGGCTTTGGGGGTGGCAGGGATGGGGTTGCGTGGGGGATAACGTCACACCGTGCATCCATGGGGTGCCCGTGTTGAGCAGAGCATCCCAGCCTAGAGCGAACTGGGCTATGACGCTGGAGCAGTGGTACCTGTGGAGGTTTTCGGGGTCAGGATGGAGCCAAGACCCCAACCACAGGCGATGCTGTTCCCTGTGTTCTGCAAAACACTCCCTGTGTTGTGTACAAAGGGGATCCCGAATGGTTGATCTGCTGTCAGCATCCTCCTGGGATATGGAAGCTGGGAGGGGGGCACGGGCATGGGGATACCCCCAGTGGGCTGGGATTGCTCCAACCTTCCACTATCTGAAGGGGGCTACAGGGATGCTGGAGAGGGACCTTCATCAGGGACTGGAGCAACAGGACAAGGGGTGATGGGTTCAGACTGAAACAGGGCAAGTTCACGGTTAGATATAAGGAGGAAGTTCTTTATTGTGAGGGTGCTGAGGCGCTGGCACAGGGTGCCCAGAGAAGCTGTGGCTGCCCCATCCCTGGCAGTGCTCAAGGCCAGGTTGGACACAGGGGCTTGGAGCAAGCTGCTCCAGTGGAAGGGGTCCCTGCCCGGGGCAGAGGTTGGAGCTGGAGGAGCTTTAAGGTCCCTTCAACCCAACCCATTGAGTGATGCCTTGGTTCCTTCTGCAGCTGGAAGAGATGTACTCCACTGTCTGCAAAGCCACCAAGAAGAAAACCCAGGTCCCTGCATCACCCCCAGGGGAGGAGGGTGCCCAGGCCCGGTCCTGGTCCCCGGCAGCCCATGGCCCTCTGGACCCCTGCTATGAGTCCATCAATGACAGAGCCTGGACCATTCAGGGCCGAGGCCCCGACCCGGACTATGAGGCCGTGGATGTCAACTGGAAGAGGGCAGCAAAGCGGGACAAGGCCCCCGAGAACCTGTATGAGAGCGTTGGGGACATCTGGGCTGGGGGGTCCCAAAGAGCTGCGGCCAGGATGGCGTCCAATGGCCTGGAAGTGTACATCACCAACCTATAGCACCCCAGCGTGCTCCCACCACGGTGGCTTCCCATGGGACCGGCCTTCCAGGGGCTTGAACCCCCCCCGGGATGGGCACACTTGAACCCGTGCCCACTGGGGTGGCTGCATCCCCACAATGGCTTTCTGTATGTATTTTATATTCCTTTAAGCATCCTTGTCCCATCGTGACCCAGGTTGATGTTGGGTGCCCTGGGATGGGTGGTTTGGGGGTGCTGGGTGCCACATGGAGCCCGGTGGGACAGGGATGGTGCTGCCAGCACAATGGGAATGGGGTTGGGACTAGTCATGGTGGTGGGGTCAGCCCTGTGGCTCTGTGCTGCAGGATCAGGCCCTTCATCACTGGGGTTATGCTGTGAGTGAGGGGTCTCCATCCTCCTCCCTCTGCCTTGGAGGGAGCAGGGCCCCATCCAGCCCCCAGGAAGCCCTGAGCAGCTTCACTCCCATCACTGAACACCCCTGGTTATGGGGACCAGGGGCCAGCCCTGTGCCTTGGGGCAGAGCAGGCTGCAGGCTCTGCTTTGTCCCTGTCACCCATTCCCACCTTATGGGTCTGTACAAGAGTGAGGTGCCTCCAGAAGCTGCCATCTCCCAAACCACCATTAAAAGGCTGAGATGGGGTTATCCGTGTCAGGAGAAAACACTTAAACTGGATCTAACCCCCTGTTGTGATGGGTGCTGGTGCTGGGGGAGCAGCTTTGGGCACTGCGTGGCTGTGAACGGGTGCACCCGCCAGCCCGGATGGGGATGAGCAGCACCAGGAGCTGCCAAAGCGAGCTCTGGGGCTCTGCTCAGTGCTGGAGCTGGGGACCATTAACACAGCGCTTGCTGCTGCTCACCTCCCATGGGTGCTGCAGCCTCAACCCATGCCAGATGTGTTCTGTAGAGCTGGATGTGCGCCCAGAACTCTTTGCTCCCCCCCAGGTGCTCAACCTTTCCTCCTCTCTTCCCCATAGCGGGTTTAGCATCCCTTCCCCATGGTGAATTTAGCATCCCTTCCCCATGGTGAATTTAGCATCCCTTCCCCATAGCGAGTTTAGCATCCCTTCCCCATAGCGAGTTTAGCATCCCTTCCCCATAGCGAGTTTAGCATCCCTTCCCCATAGCGAATTTAGCATCCCTTCCCCATAGTGAGTTTAGCATCTCTTCCCCAAGGGATGCCCTGTATCCCTAAGGCGATGCTCTGATGATGGTCCCACGGTGCTGTACCCCAACTGCTTTACAACCATCTGACCTCATCGCACTGGTACTCGCTGGGGCTGGCTGGGACCTGTGGCAGCAGAACCACCATGCTGTGCCATGCTGTGCCGTGCTGTGCCGTGCTGTGCCATGCTGTGCCGTGCTGTGCCGTGCTGTGCCGTGCCCTGCAGCAGGCAGGAAGCCGCTTTGCCCTCACATCGCAGAGATGAAGCACAAGCACGAGGCTCTCGGCAGCCCCCGCTGCAGACGTTGGAGCCGGCGGCGGTGCCAAACCACAGGTGTTGGGGTGCAGGGCCCGGCCCCGGCGCTGCTCGCAGCCGCTGCCAGATCAGGGCACTGATAGAGCCCGCTGCGATGCTGCCGCGCTCTTCCTGCCCTCAGCCGCTGCGTGGGCTCCCCCGGCCGCATCCGTGCCCTGCTCCCCGTCTCCATCGTCCCATCCCGCAGCTCTTGAGGGCTCCTGCAGTGTCTGAATCCCATGGGAGCTGTGTTTGGGCTGCACCAGCCCTGAGCATCCCGAGACAGGATGGGCCCTGTGGTGGTGGGGTTGGATGCGGGTACCACTGTGCTGCTGCACCAGGGTTAGGCAGGCTTGGCACGGCATCAGGCTGCATCCAGGCTGGGGAAAGCTGCTGCTAGCAGTGGCCAAAGCATCTCCCAAACCTGCCCCAACAGAGGTAAAGCCCCATGGGCAGGGCTGCCTGCTTGTCCATAATTCATGGGATTCGGGACAGCCAGACTCGCATTCACATCAGAGACCAACTGCCCCGTCCTTGGGTGATGGAAACCGTGTCCAGAGCCCCAGCACAAGGCTCAAAGCCTGGGGGGTGAATGAAGGATCCATCCCAAAACATCACTTGGAGTCTCGTGGTCTGGCCGGGAAGGTCTGGGTTAGGTGGGTTGGGAGCATCCCTCTGTATCCTGATCCTGCAGGATCCCTGTCATGGTGCAAGGGGACGGTACTGCAAGGGGACAGTGCTACAAGGGGATGGTTCTATAAGGGGACGGTGCTACAGGGGGATGGTTCTATGAGGGGACAGTGCTACAAGGGGATGGTTCTATGAGGGGACGGTGCTGCACGGTGCCATTCCCGCAAGGGGGAGCGAGCAGGAGGAGCCCAGCGCACCCTGCACGGCGGCACACGCAGTACGGTGCTGCGCTCTGCAGGGTGGTGCGCGGTGCTGCACGGTGCTGGGTGCTATAGGGATCTCCATCCCATACGGCTCTGCACACTGTACATGGCAGCACCCAGCACAGGGCTGGGCGCCCAAACCAGGTCCACAACCATACAACTCCACATACGAATGGCTTCAGACCCCACAGTCCCCTACCCCACGTTATCTTCACACCCCACATGTCCCTATCCCTCCTCCAGCTCCATTCCCCATAAGCAGGCAAGTGGCAGCTCAGGGGAGACCGGCAGCATGCGCAAGGCTCTGTCCCCATTGACAGCACCACTCGGGATGCAGGCAGGGCATGTGGGTACCACAGGGGCATCCCGGGGGATGCCAGGCCAGGATGCTGGAGCCGCCCTGCCCGCGGATGGGGTCTGCCTGGTGCCACCGGAGCCCTTGTGCAATGGGCGATGATGCTCGGTGCTCGCAGGGGTTGCACAAGACCGGAGCCAGCTCAGCGCTTCGCTGTTAACGATTAAACCAGAGCCGAGGAGCCACCACCACGTCCCACCATGGCTGCTTGTCACAACCGGGAGAGGGGGGGAACCAGAGCCTTGCGCCTGCCCCGGGGCTCCCTCGGTGCCTCCGCTGGGGTCCATTAATGAGGGCCAAAGGATGGGGGATGAAGGCTGCCCCTTTGTGCTCCCGGGGCAGGGTCGGGCCCCCATGGGTACCCCGCTTGCTGCAGATGCTGCCCCTCATCCGGACACCCCGGGGGTGGCCGCGCCGGTGCCTCCCGGTCCCCGGGCCGGGAAGTTCGGTTTTTCCCTGCTTGTGGCTCTTATTCTCGCTATGAAAGCCCCAGGGAGCAGGGCGGAGGGGGCACCTCCGGCCACCCCCAGGGCAGGGACCCCCGAGGGCGGGCAAGAGCCACGAGACCCCTGCCCCGCTGCCACACCGGGGATCCAGCCCCCCCCCCCCCAACTTCAATGGCCCCCGGGACCCCCCCACCCCGTGTCACCGGCCCTGGGCTGATGGGACGGGCTGGGACAGGCTGGGGCCAGCGGCCGGGGCAGCCGCATGGACTCTGTCCCGGCCTTCAGGCTGCGGGGGGGGTCAAACAGCAGCGGGGCCACAGGCAGGGACCTGAGCACGGGTGGGTGCCGGGCACGGATCCCCCTGCACCGCGGTACCCTCTGCACCCCCCTAACCCATGCAGCCCTATGCACCCCATGCAGCCCTAATGCACCCCATGCACCCGTGCACCCCTATGTACCCCATGCACCCCCTGCACCCATGCACCAACTGCACCCATGCACCCCTATGCACTCCATGCAGCCCTAATGCACCCCTGCACCCCTATGTACCCCATGCACCCCATGCACCCCTATGTACCCCATGCACCCCAATATTCCCCAGGTACCCACGGCACCCTGTGCATCCCGGTACCCCCTGCACCCCTGTAACCCATGCAGCCCTATGCACCCCATGCACCCCTATGCACTCCACGCACCCCTATGTGCCCCATGCACCCCTATGTACCCCAAGCACCCCAATATCCCCCAGGTACCCACGGCACCCTGTGCACCCCGGTACCCCATGCACCCCTATGTACCCCATGCACCCCAATATCCCCCAGGTACCCACGGCACCCTGCGCACGCCGGGAGCTCCATGCACCCCGGTACCCCGTGCACCCCATGCCCCCAGGGCACCCCAAACCCAGCCCTGCCGTTTTGGGTGGATTTTAGCAGCTTCCTTTCCTGTTGGACAGAACCGATCAAACCCTGCAGGCCCGGGGACCCCTTTCCCCCTGGGAACCGCTCTTGCGCCCCACAATAGAGACGATTTCCCCCCCAACAGCAAACACCATAAGTTCTGGGGGAGCCTATAGCTGATGGGGAGCCCTACAGCCAACTGCAGTGGGTATAAACCTTTAGGGGGGTCCCCTACAACTTTCGGGGTGCGTAACTTTGTGGGAGCCCCATAACTTGCGGCGAACCCCTATAATTTATCAGCAGCCTTATAATTTGGGGGAGCACAACCTCCCCCCCCCCAAGTTATAACCCGTTCAGTTTCAACCCCATAACTTGGACAGAGCTGTAGGAGGTTTATGGTGTCCTCCAGGCTGACGGGAGCCCCGGGATTTCGGGGGGGGGGGGGGTTATTTGGGTTAAAATCAGGACTTTTTGGGGTCATCCTGCAACTTTTGGGGACTTTGGCGGGGGGGGGGAGGGGGCGGGGATCGGGTTCATGGGGTCCGGTCCCAGCACTAAGGGGGGAGGGGGAAAGGAGGGGTTGGGGGGGGGTTGGGGGGGGGTCCGGTTTTGGGGTGCCCCCCCCCCGGGGTTGAGCGCGCGCAGGCGGGAGGGCGGGGCGCGCGAAGATGGCCGCTGGGCCGGGGGCGTGGCCGGGGCAGGGCCGGGGGGGCGTGTCCCGGCGCGCCAATTGACATCTGGAAAGAGCCAATCAGAATGGTCCGAGCGGCTGCGGCGGGGTCGAGCTGACCAATAGCGATGAGGTCGGTGGGCGTGGCCTAAGAGCCGGCGCCGACACCGGGCCAGCGCTCCCCCGGGGCCGGGCCGCGGCCGCCGGTGCTGCCGCCGCTTCCCCGCATGGAGGGAGGCGGCGGCGGCGGCGGCGGCGGCGGGGACCGGGGTGGGAAGCGGGGAGGAAGGCGGAGGGCGGGGGGTGGGGGGGCGGTGACAGCTGACAGCGCCCGCCCGAAAGTTTCCCTCCGTTAAAATGGCGCCGGGAGGGGGTAAACGGGGGGGGGGCACCCCACGTTTAGGGTGGGATTTGGTGCCGGTGAATCCCGGCTGGATCTGCCCCGGGGGGATCCACTTGGTGCTGGCAGTGCCCCGGGGCTCCTGCCTGGGGGGGGATCTGCCCGGGCACGGGGTGCACGAGGGGCGCGCTGGATCCCTGGGTCAGGCCCACTGAGCGCTTCCCGAGGGGTCGGTGTGGGATGCAGATCCGGGGGGGATCCCGCTGGTGGGGCAGGCAGTGGGTGCGCTGCTGTCTCTGCTAAAGGCAGGGCCAAGCCAGCCCCTTGCTGTGCAGAGCTCTGGGGGGATCCCCACTGGATCAGCGCAGAGCAGGATCCCCTTGGTGCTGTCACTGGGCACCTGGATGCTGCCACCTTAGGGCTGGATGCCGGAGGGTGTCAGGTCTTCTCTGTGGCTATCCCGCTGGATCCCCGCTGTGTCCATAGGGATCTCCCTATGGAGGGATCCACTGGCCGGATCCCTCCCTGCTCTCACCTCTGTGGAGCTCCAACCTAGTGGGGCCTACCCCATAGGCACCCACTGAGTGGCCAGCAGGGTCCTGGCTCC